CCTGGAACTCACTTGGTAGCCCAGGCTGGCCTCGAACTCACAAAGATCCGCCTGCCTCTGCCTCCCGAGTGCTGGGATTAAAGGCGTGCGCCACCACCACCCGGCTGCAGTTCCCTTTTATCTTGTTTAAATGTAAGATGTATTTTTTTCTAAATAATCAAGTGGATTTTTAATATTTTATATTTGAGCCAAAATTATTTGCTTTACAACGTTTGACCTTTCTACAAGCATACATAAGGCCCTGGCCTTAGAAAATATCTAGAAAATATCTCTGTGTTTAAATTGGTATATTTGGCTTGTAGTGGAATTTGGATCAAGATTGAAAAGCCTCAGTGGGGTCCCAGAGAAAGGAAGAGGGGCTGTGCATGTTAACTAACTCCTACGAGCCGCAGAGGACCAAGCCTCCTCAGCACTCAGTGCTCCTCAGAATATGGTGTCCTAGCAGGATTCTCAGATACATTCCGTGGATGTTCATGGCGTCCTAGAGAAGGCACAGCTATGCTTCATTTGTGTGTGCTAGTCGAGTTTATAAACCATTTAAAACATCAGTGCAGCATTTTTAGCATAAGCAGAGGTATTATTCTGAATTTGTAATTTAAACAAAACTTTGCACATTCAGAGATCGGAAATCCTTCAAGGGGTTTTGTTTCCACAAGAATTTGAGAAAAAATACTAGTGTAGAAATTTTATTAAAGTGATAAGAAACTGAATCTTCCTAAAATTGCATATTATAAATCACCACAGAAAACATAATGGCTTGTGTACATAGCTCACATCACCAGAGGCTGAGTCTGGAATCCAAAGAGAAAGAACGCAGAACATTGATGGTGAATGTCTGGAAATGCCCAGTCTTTGTGAGAGGTAACTTGGTAATAGGCTTTATTTTAATCAATTAATTAAAATGACTTTGTTTTGAGCCTAGTCCAGGCTGGTCTGGGACTTGCGATGCAGCCTGGGATGATCTCAAACCTGTGGCAATTCTTTGCTTCTGTCTCCCCAGGGCTAGGATTGTAGGCATGAGCCACAGTCCACCCCATTTTTGCCTCATCAGCCCCCAGCATTACCAATGTGAGGCACTGAGAGAAGACCTTCAGTTGATGATCTTAACTAAGAAGAAGCAAATTATTTTTTAAAGATACAAACGTATTTACAAACGAGAGTCTTGTCCCGGGGTGTCTCATGCCCTCTTATGGTCTCCATGGGCACTGTGCACATGTGACAGATGCACATATATGAAAACAAATTAACTTTAAAATCTTGTTTTTAGAATGTGCAGAGGTTGTTTGGAGGTCCTTTACAGTATCTCTCTTCATGTCTTCTCTTTAGGAAACTCCCTTGGTGGATGCTAGTGGTGCTTGTCAGTGTAGAGAAGGGTTTAATAAAGGTTTAACAACAAACCCGTAACACTCTCTGTGTATATGCTTTAGGTCTTCACATTTCTATCTTTTTTTTTTTTCCGAGATAGTATTTCTCTGTGTAGTTTTGGTGCCTGTCCTGGATCTTGCTCTGCAGAACAGGCTGGCCTCAAACTCACAGAAATCCACCTGGCTCTGCCTCCTAGGTGCTGGGATTAAAAGTGTGCACCACCGCCACCCGGCCACATTTCCATCTT